AACCAAGGGGTCCCACTAGCAGGTGTCACATTCAATGAGGCTGCTTTGTAGGGAGACTTGGTCTCTAGAAAACTGTATAAACTAACGTTTTTGTTGAGTCATAATCAAGAGAGATGTTTTGTTGGGAGCCTACATGGTGGTAGTACATTTGACTGGAGCCCTTTTGATGGAAGACTATATGACGGGCTTTATTTGTCGCTGGCCCTTTTTACCTATTTGATTTGACAGTACTCCACCTTGAAACTGTCTATGGTGTTAAATGTATATGTAAGTGGCAAGGTGTTGCTTATTTTTAAAAAATTCTTTAAATGCAGTTTTTTTCTTCTTTTGATCAGTGTGTGATAATTTTTAAAATGTTTTTTAGCATGCAATTTCAATTATAATTATTTTTTTAAAATTATCTTCATAAACATAAAATTATCTGCCTTGTAAATCCTGTATATTTCTTTGTTACATAGTGTTAACTAGTATTCTTGACTCTAAATGTATCCTCTGCCTGATTCTATATATTTGAAAAAGCTGTTGCTCGCCAAGGTGGATCAAGTTTAATGAAATTGTTTTTGGATGTTTTCAATACTATGGCATTGACTTAATATTGAGTTTTATAAGTTTAACTAGACATCATTTTGTTGTCGCTCATTTTTACTTTCGGGAAATGAACTTTGCAAAAAAATTAACAAATACCGGTGCACAACAGATTCTCTTAATCTTTAAAAATTGTTTTTTACACTTAAACTTTTGATGCGTTAAGAAATTTTAGGGGGAAAATTCAATTCTTGAGTGCTGTAATATTTTCCTGAAATTTAAAATCATAAAATCCAAAAATACATTAGATTTGTTGTCAGGAATGTGGCTATGCATCCTGTTTATGGCATGGATAAAATTTTCCTGTTAAATGTGGTCAGTTGCAACAATGGTGTACACATTTTTAGTACAGATTGTTAAATTTATTGCATTATTGGCGTGAAAACTAAAATAACTAGCATATGAAGATGCTAAAGAAATGGCCATGACACTCGGTAAATATTATAAAATGAGTACCAACAATAAAAAAATAATATTACAATATTTATTTAACACATCTGGTTTTAAACCAGGTCCTTAGCTTACTGTTCTTACTCTTCTTTTCTTCTTCTTCGTTCTTAATTATTGTGTTGGAAGAGATTCCCTCCAACACAATTAAGTATATTACTTAGTAATAGCTAGTACTTAATCCCATTATCCCACCTTTTTTTATTAAATATAGTAATCTTAAAAAGTTATTTGTAGTAACTTATTTCATACATAGTTTGATTGAAAATTATTTATTTATTTAATAATCTTCAGAAGTGTAATATTTTAAAACGGCGCTATTTGTTTTATTTTCTACTTTTCAGTAATTCACAATTCGACCTTAGCTCAGCAAACAGGTGTGGGTGAGGGTGGTTGTGATATGCCTAGAGAGCAGGGGAATGACGCTGCGTGTGTTTATGTGGTGTCTGGTCCCCATGAAGAGAATTATATATATAGATACCACCTATTTAAAACAAAAAATTACAAGTACAAGTAACTTCCTAATGTTGGAAGCGTGTTTTAAGTTCATTCATTCTTATTTTATATTTTGATAAAACAAAGTGAATAGTGTATCCCCTTTTGAACTTTTTTATATTACATTCATTTTATACTCAACTAGTGTGCCCATCTCAGAAGAAAGACTGATGCAATATTTTAAGAGGATTAATATGTTACCAGTCGTGTATTTCTAGCTTTGTGATCTGGTTTTCTAAAATTAAGACATATATTGTAAACAAAGCAGGTGCTGTAATTTGTGGATCATGGTTGTTGGGGCGTCAGTTTGTCCACACAACTGCCCAGATCCCAAGGGAATGCTATGGACTTACTGTCAGGTCAAAAGCAGTTTTCTTTTTTTTAAAAACAAAATCACATCTTATTCCACCATCCTGCCTTCATTAAAGTTTGTACTCCACTCCTAATTAAAAAAATTAGCAAAATTGCCTAATTTTTAAAAAATCTAATTGAAAAATATGCGTGGACAATGCAGAGGCGTAGCGGGGGGGGGGGGGGGGGGGGGACATATGTCCCCGGGCGCCGACCTTAGGGGGGGAGCCAAATTGAAAGTTTGAGGGGGGGTGCAAATGAAAAGTTCGAGGGGGGGTGCAAATCGAAAATTTCCCCCCGAGGGGGCGCCAAATTGAAAGTATGTCCCTGGGCGCCGGGAAGGGTCGCTACGCCTCTGGGACAATGTAATTATCGCCCATTGTTTCTGTTTCAATCTTTAGGTCTAGATAAACTTAGGCCTTCATTTTCATACAGAAGTCAGGTGCCAAGAAATAGGGAGCTATAAAAATGAGCAATATTTTAAAAAAATGTTCTCAAATTCACTCAAATTTAGTGTCCTCCTATATCTGCAAGCGGTAGTTCACTCTAATTTCTGGTTTCTAAAATACAGATAACATATGTACCTTTTCAGTTAGATGAACTAAATTTTATTTGAAGATACAAGATCTTATTCTCTTGATTTTGTCAAATTTGAGTGATATGACCAAAAGTAGCATTTTTATAGGTATTTCCTATTTCTCTAACAATCTCACTTCTACCATACAGATTTATTTAAAACCTCACACATAGGTCAAGACTCAATGACAATGCACCATGTCCCTATTGTAGGGTGCTCTTAAAATTAATGGAGGCACCATGTTGATTATGGGGAGTCGTGGGTTCTGCAGGTCTCTGAGGTGCCAGCGGACACAGCCTGATTCCTTTTAGTCAACTATTATAGTACCCATCGTATCCATAGTATATCGCACTCTTTGCAGAAACCCTTCTCAAAGTGTTGAAAAAGAAAAACTTCTTTCAGTTTTGTTAAATTGTGAGGGCTAAATTGCAATTAAAAAAAAATAATGATACTGATACTGCTTTTTTTTTTTTTTTGCACTACATTAGAAATGAATAAAAGTCTGGTAGGAAAAAAAATGCCTAATAGATTTCATGGTCTTTATCCTTGGATGCCATGGTTTTTTTTTTACATTTTAAACTAAGGATACTTAAATACTGTATGCCAGTCTCCTGCAAACATTAAACAAAATCTTATGATTATGTGCCATTTGTGTGTGTGCCTTTCTGCTCACTGGTCTTTTATTTTGTTAACAGTACAGTCAGTTGCTTATACAGTGCTCAAATTGAATATTAGAGCACTGCAGATTATTACAGGTATATTACAATTACTATTTTATGCTAAAGACACATCATGAATCAAACTTTTTGTCGACAATAACAAAAATACTTGCAGTTTATACCCACATCATAACAGTGTGATTTATAGAACAGTGTGTTTGTATTTAGATGTACTATGTTAATGATTGCTTTTATAAGTGAAATTGAATATAATTGAGAGCATTCATGTGAGGCTGGAGAGTATGATTAAAATCTTCAAAATGTAATTTAAAATTTATCAGTTGCCCCCTACATACACAAGTAAAACGTTCTAATATAGGCCAACACAAAGTCAAGTACATAATACACACATGCACATAACTTTAAACACAATGGCTGCCAAACCCAACTGCTCTATCAGATTAAAACTTTTTTCTCATGTTCAGTAAAACACTACATCATTTTATAATGTAAAAATTAAAAATTTGTAATAGGAAAAGTATAACTATGCCATTTTCCATGATTGCTTAGACTAGCTACATTAATATAGGCCTACACACATACATAAACATACATTCTAATAATTTTAGACACGGCTGAAAGTTTTATCTTAAATTTAATTTACTTTGTCGGGTAGATCAACCCACTTGCAATTTAAACTTCTAACCCACTGCTTTATTTACTCGATGTTAGCTAGCCATAGACACTTTTTTTCCTTAGTTGTGTAAAACATAATGAACAAAACATAGGGGTGTATTATAATATAAGCAATTTATGATAGGAAAGGTATCAATAAAATGCCGTTTTTAACGTTTGCCTGGATCAACCACTGTGATGCACAGCCATTCTATGTGGCTGTTGGAAGCTGTGAGCCCGCATTCGCATCAGAACAGTCTGGGGCAGTGTATCGCGGCGTGCTGGCTGTGTGTCTTATAGCGCGCCTGCCAAAACTATGGAATTTGCCAGGATGCATAAAAAAAAACAACCTTTCACCTTTATATACACAGTTTATTCTGGTGTCTGCTCTAGCGTGTACATTGTATTATAGGACACATTAAGGAATATTGTAAAATAGTGTTTTAACACTATCATATATATATATATATATATATATATATATATATATATATATATATATATATATATATATATATATATATATATATATATATATATATATATATATATATATATATATATATATATATATATATATATATATATATATATATATATAAAAGGCTAGATAACAATGTGCAGGCCATACTGCAGCCATCATCATATGTAATGTCATGAAACAGACGACATACTTCACTGTCTGTACTCTGTGGATGGTAGGGTATTGAACGCTACCTTCTGTAATTAAAAGCACTTCTTACAATTTCTTTAAAAATTGGTGTATGTATATATTAATTTTAAATACCTTTAATAGCCACAATTATTAAACTCTTCTCTAGCTTTTTGTTTGCAAAAACTGATCAGGATCGTCGACCCTTTTCTTTTCACTTGGAGCTATTAGCCTCTAACCTTTTCCTAAAATTCTGGTGCTTGTCTAAAATAGTTGTGGGGTTATACTTATTGGTTGAAAACTGTTTTATTCATATTAAATTTTAAAGGTTAAGATTTATATTTCGTTCTTAAATCGTATTTAATCTCGTAGACAAATAAAGCTGTGTGGTGAATCACTTCCGTTTTAGAATCACGGAAAGTTGGCAGGTACTTGTCGTCAATATCGATCTTATCGCGTCATAGAAAACGATCGATTGGTGCTGCCTCAGCGTCTCCAAATTGTGCGGCGCGCTGTTTCCTCTCTTCTCTTTCCGTGTGAGTAATATCACCGATACATAGCTGTTCTGTGCAGGCAGGCAGGCGGTTGAGGACAGGCCCGTTTCTTTGTCAGGCTAGGCCTTGTAGCCATCATCACGTCTCCATAAAGCTTGTTCGTTCTGGTTTTCGGTCTGTGAATTTTAATGTGTTAGTGCTTGTGTTGTACTTCAGCTAATGAAACCAGCTCAGTTGGATCTAATAAGCATCTGTTGTATCCATACTCGTCTAGATCAACCTGAATAACGGGGCTTTCTAACGACCGCCATAGTTGGATGTGTGTAGGCTTAATATATCCACTATGGGTGCCGCGTCGTAAGGATGTAGCCTTTTTTCTGACATCTTTTTTAGTGTAGCCTCTAATGGACATTTTGAATTCTCTACTTTAGGGCTACGCTACTTATTCTGCTAATGATTCCACTTGATTCCAGTGGAAGTAAGGAAGGCTAAAAGGATTATACACAACAGATGGACAATGCATTCTATTACGATGGTTTTAATAGTGAAATATTTCGCTTGATTGTTACTGTGGTGTTATTTTCCTGTTGTAAAGGAATAAGTATAAACTAGCTTTTTTTTTTCACTAATCGTCTGTAGCAGTGGACATTTTAACAGAATCTCTGTTCTTTTTTGCTCTGGTAGGTAATTTAGTAAATGTTTTGATATTAATGTATTTAGATTTGACCTAAAGTTAAACAAAATTACTGTACATTTTATGAATGTGTTTGTTACATATGTTACCGCTATATTTTAACTGTGAGCTGATAACATCATGTATGCTAATACGGACATTTTGGGACGATGCGGTACTTGTCTGCATGGGTATTGATTTTTTCCCCCTCGATGATGCCTAAACAACTCTACATTACTGGTACAATTCATTTTTTTTTCAATTGACAGCCTTTTCTAAATTGTACGTGTGTAATTACTCCTTAACCTATAACTTGCATTATTATTTTTTTAAACTGCTCATTCTTTCATTATACGAGACTGAAGGCAGCAAATGTATAATGGTACATAAAACATCATTGCAAATTTCAGCTGGCACTGTTTGCTGGTTGATAAGCTGAAATTCATTCCTAGCACCTGCATTTCGTGTTAATGGAAACATGGAGTAGATAGCACGCGTGTTTCTATGCTCTCTATAACCTACATTATATGAGCCTACCTACGTGAGCAAATTTTCTGAAAGACGAGAGCGGGCCGGCTTTTACTCGGCTCCTGCTTATCGTCGTATCTTACCCGGTTATCTAGGCTTTAGGGGTCGAAATGACTCATTCCACCCCTCGCCTTTCCTTGATCTCATTTTTTTTTAACGGACAGGAAAGGGTTAATTTTAGCATGGGCCGCCACCGCTGTTAGTGTTGTTAAGACAATCCAAATGCATAGCCTAGTTAAAGAAACTAAGGTTTTGTACGCCATGTTCACATTGCAGCAAGTGGCTTGTCTGTGTGCGGTGCCGCTTTTAATACAGCATGTGCAAATAATTCGTATGCATTTTTTTTTCTCCCCTTAGACTTAAAACATTGCTGTGGTATTAGTGGACAGCTGGGTGAGGTTTGAAGTAAAGGTTTGTTGAATAACTCCAGCCGAGCCAAAGTGGTAGGCCTACACTGTTAATGGAAAAAACCCAGAGCCCTAGCGTGTGCTTGTATTTTTTTTTGCCCAGCCCGTGACGTCAATGAGTTTGATAAGTTAACATCAGATTTTCGCGTACGTGCCAACCATGTAGTCAGTTTATTCATACTGGTTTCAAACAAAATTTACCGTTATCCACCCACCGTCTCCTAAATAAAACACACGTATAATTGAAGTGCTGTTGGCCATGCCGTCTATTTATTCGTGTATTGTTAACCTATGTAATAGTTTTTATTTCGTCGTTCGCCTAGCTGAATAGGAACATTAGTTGTCTATAGTGAGCCAGCAAGCTGGCTTTACAGTTCATAAAGCGATACTTCATTACTAACCGCACGCTCACTTGGTCTAACACTGTCTACTTAATAGTCTACTTCACGATCCTGGTCTAATAAGTACACACTTGTTACTCACGTAGCTAAAAATAAACGTGCTATAGTAATTTGTTGGCTCTCTCCCAAGAAGGATAACGTGCGACAGGGTGGGGTCATTAAATAAATGTATTGATATTTCTGTGCAACGTTTCAATCAATCTTTTTGGCTGATACATGAGTATGTAAAATATGAATACTTTTTAATGCTTTACCTCATGATAGCTCTCACTTTTATTATTGAATTCACGTGTAAATTAATAATCTCATCGCAAATGAATGTGTCCGGAAAAAAACAACTCAAGTTTAGCAAGTAAAAGTTAACTATTAAAAAAAAAGTAATGCACTTAAATAACATAAAAATAAGAAAGACTACTGTTATATTTTTTCATCACCACACTCCAACAATTTGCCAGTCCCTACTCTATGTGCCACAAGATAAATTATGTGTATTTATAAAGGACATCTGTTCACCAGAACACTTTGACTTTATTAGTTATCGATTGACATGTGGTGTGTGTAGTTGTCTAACTTTTTTTAGGGTGCTGGGGGGGGGGGGGGTTGCACTAGGGTACCTAATGACTATGCAACTACTGACTAGACCTACTTAAATGATGCTATTGGTATCATCAAAGGATGCGCCTTTGTAGAGTTCACACTTGTTGTCGGCGTTAAACAGACATAAAACAAGTGTAGTTCTATTTAGTGTGGCACCTAATGCCTGCAGTTAAAGATCATGTGTTGACAAGTCTTATAGGATATCCCTTGCACGCTCATAGACACAACAGGGTAGCAAAGTAGCAACAAATCTTTACAGATGTTATATTGTTCGATTTGTTAAAAATCGCTAATTTAATACCTATTGTTCCATTAGTACCAATGCTTATATTTCGTTTCGGTTTTGGCAGCTAATGTTTATTGTACAAAACATAACTGCATCTAATTATTAACAGAAAAGCAACAAAGGAAATACGTTTGGGTGAATGTTTCATAACAAGGCAAATGAAAGTAAATAATGTAGTGTTGAGCTGTTACACTGTTTTGTAAAAGTATAAATAATTAGCTCTTGCATAGATTAGTTATAGTATATTTCGACTTTCTTTTATAACACTGCTGTGGCGTGTGTGTGTGTACACTGTCGTTAAAGTGCGTGCCCAATATCCAGCATTTTTGCTATCAACAACTGTTTATTTTTAAATCTAAAATTGGGTCAGGCAGTGTTTGTCAGAACTTGCGGTGTAAACTTGCGGTGTGTTGTTTTCTTCTTGTCTCTTCGTGTCATCTAAAACGAAGTTACGGTGGTAGGCTTATGGTTAGAACTGGCAGAAGCTGATTACACAAGTCATCGCTTTTGTCACAATGTGGGTGTGGTTACAAGTGGACATGATTATTATACTTAACCGTGAAAGCCAGTCTTCTGTCGTGTCACTGCGATCTTGTCAAACTTTTAAATTGCATAACTATTTATAGAAAGTGTATTAATGTACATGTCTGGTTTATAATTTTCTAATATAATGAAGCGTAAGGGGGGAGGGGGGAAACACGCTGTTACTTTTGGCGCGGGCACAGATTCACATCCATACATGTTCCCTAATAGCCTCGTGTAGAAAAGGCACTTATGTATAACATTAAAATAGCTTTTAAAAACTGACGCCGCCGTTTAGCTTTGAAATAACTAGGTTTAGTCTGAATAGACTGGTATATATAATGTTTTGCCTTGAAGGTATTAGTGTGTACCCCCACATACATGCATTTCCGTGACCCACACTTTTTGATAGGCATAACATTTAACATGGCGCATGTTATTGAATTTATGTACACACTGCCCGTTGAATGTTATATTTTTAGAAACAGAAGCAAAGGTTTTTAATTTCCTGGTTGTTGTTTTTTTTTCCAGATTATACACAAATATAGTTCAAAATGAGTAACGATTTAGAAGCCTTGCGGCAAGAAACAGAACAGTTAAAGAACCAAATTAGAGTGAGTATTGATGCTTTTCTATTCATCAGTTATTCATACAATCAGTTAAAATTTAAGTTGTTTTTAGCTTGCTATTTATTTTTTCTCTTTTTCTCTTTCCATTCTTAAAATCCCAGCTACTGTGGGCTGCTTGGTGCAATCTTTATAAAAAAAAATAATTTACTCCTCTACCATCCCCCTCCCGTTCTCAGTGACCATGTATTACAGGGCCTAGACCTACGTCAGTGAACAGTTCCCAGCAAGGTCACTGATTTGCTCTCTCTCTTTCTTCCCCTCCCCCCTCTGCCCCTGCCCTTGCTATGGCCTAGGTTTTTAAAAAATGCAGCACAGCCTTTTCAGTGTGCTGGCCAAGTGAAGAGTTTTAGATGGCTGTTGATAGGCTGGTCTATCATTACAGCCAATTGTGTTGAAATAAAACAAAATTGTAGGTTTCAGGTTTTTATAAAAGCTGAACTTTAGCAGTCTGACTTGTTATAATATAACTCAGTTAAAAGTTTGCAAGCACCAATATACTGATAATGTGAAACTTAATAAAACATTATCATCATACTATTTGTACCAACCTTCACTGCATGAGTACTTAAAAACTTTTATGTAAGGGGAACAGGGCATTTACACCCCCCCCCCCAATAGTCAATTCTTTTTTCTCTTTCTCTCTCTCTCTCTCTCTCTCTCTCTCCCCCCCCCCCCTAACCCTAACCCTAACCCTAACCCCTCCCCCCTCATAGCTTAAGGTTCAGCTAGGGTTAGTGTTAGGATCAGGGTTAGGCTTAAATCAATGTGTAGAGTTGGGTTTGGTTTATGGGTTTATTTTAGGGGGAGGTGAATTCTTAGGTTTTTCGTCTTTGTCTTAAGGTTAGGATTAAGGTAATATTGGTATAAAGTTGGAGTTAGAATCAGGATTCTATCTTGGTGGGGGGGGGGGGGGGGGTTAATGTCCTATAGCGGTATGTAAGACATAATTTGTAATGTCTCCCTTCAAGTAGATGCTGGTTAAGTATCATTTGACATAAATTTATAGATTTGATGCTTCAATTATTTTAAATTTAGTTTACAGATACAAGAATATACAAAATACAAGTGTTAGTCAGCTTTTGAGGTTGTCTAGCACATTTCCCCCCCCCCCCCCCCCCCCCCCCCCCCTGCCATAATACATCTTTTACTTAATACTAACCATTTCCATATCCAGCCCCCTATTCCTACCCATAATCTGATCCTTATTCCTAACACTATTGTTTATACTTAGTACCTTATCCTTAACACTAACCTTTTCCATAACTTATGCTTAACCCGACCCTATCTGTAAATATCTCTGAACAGGGGGGGGGGGGGGGTGACAGTGGTATTCTACTCCAGTCTAGCATACTTCTCACTTCATTTCCAAATACTGCCAGGAATATCCTGGATGGTGTCAGTAGGGTTTTTATTCTCAGTACTTCTTAAAATCACCTGTTTTGATAGTTGCTCATCATGAAAAGTAAATGCATGTTGTATTACAAATTGACATGGAATGTCTACAGGAAGCCAGAAAAGCAGCTGGTGATACAACTCTAGCACAAGCATGCAGCGGAGTGGAAGCAGTAGGCAGGATACAGATGAGAACCAGGAGGACGCTCCGGGGTCATCTCGCAAAAATCTATGCCATGCATTGGGCTTCAGACTCTAGGTAAAAACAGCATCCTTTATCTCTGTTCTGTTTGTCTTGTAGGTATTTTGGTTCAATTTAGGGTAAAATAAATAATTGCATTTACCTGGCAGAGTGGCCATCTTATCTATCCATAGTTAAATTTATCAGCTCTAGGCAGGGGAGCTAGTTTAATCACTGTTGTTTAGTCTCCACATTATTCTTCTAAGACTTTTCGTAAATATTTTTGTTATATGGTTACCTTAACCTATGTTGTCTTTATTTCTTTTTTAAAAAAATACCTTTCTAATCTATGGCTAAGGGAAAAATTAAGATTTAAAACCATGCTTTTTTAAAAAAAAGGGTATCATGGTAAGTACAAATCAAGGATTTAATCAGAATAACTACTGAAAATTTGGTCTAGAGTCAACTCAATTTTTTTTTAAAATTAAAACAAATAAATTAAGGAAAAAAATCCTTTTTATCTTCTATGAAAAATTATTTGAAACAATAATTGCTTACAGAAAATAGTTTCATAATATGACAAAAAATATTTCCTTTATAAGAGTAGATAATAAGTTCCTCTTGGTTTAAATATTGGAAACTAAAAAAATTGAGGTAATGTTTTTGAGTACAATCTTTTAAGACTTAGATCTACACAACAGTAAAAAAAAAAGGCTGTTCTACAAATAGCAATATAAACAGAAAGCGATATTTCAACGCCCCAAGGGAAGACTAAGGTACAGAAAATAGTTCAAGTAAAGACAGAGCAGTCAGAAACCAACGGGATCCAAACCTACCATTCCACGCGGCACTAAATAGCCTTTACCCTCCATGCGTTAAGTCAGATGTGTAACCACTTCTGTTTTTGGATTTTTAACTTTTCCTTGTTAGGCAAACACATAATTAAAGCATGGCATATCTTGTCAGTAAAAATGCTAGTTCTGAAACAAACAAAAAATTATTGGAATAAAGGGCATTTCATTTTCTAAAATTAAATGCATTATTATAGATTATAGTAAAACAAAAACCAGGAGTAATTAATTTTTTCCCCTTTAATTCTAAAATGAGTTAGTTTAGCAATGCACACTATACAATTGTATGGTAATTGAAGGAATTTAATTAACTAAAGATAAGCTGAAACAGTAAATAGATTTGGATATGGTCATGAGCTATAGTCTCGTTAGTTCTGGTAGTATTTGATGGTTATTTTGGCAGGGTTTTTTTTTTTTTGTGATGTTGAAATGGTGTTATGGTATTGCATATTTAAAAAGAGAGTAATGCTGATTATAAACAAATTTTAAATAACCTAATTAAAATTAAAATCTGCTCTAAAATTATTTAAGGTGTAGTTTTAATTATTTAATAAAAAAAAGGATTAAACAAATGTTTGTATTGTTATATATATTCTGCTGTTAAAGTCTTTAAAAATATTACACTAAAAGGACATAGGAACCTCTTTAAAGTTTTCTTGTAAAAGTTCTAAGATTTCATTTAGAGCTCAGTGATTGTCTTCCCTGGCATTGCCCCTTGTTGGTTGCCCTGGTAACCATGTGGCTGTATTGATCTGGCGGCTGGCACTGTCCACCAGTATTGATTGATTTTTCACTCGGGCGCTGCTGCCATGCTAGTCTTGGCAAATGCAATAAAAAGATGCTGCCTTTGGTTTTGAAGGTGTATAGTAGTTAGATGCCTAAATCAGAGCTTTAAAGCTGGAATGTTTAAAAATGTAGCTGGGTATCATAGATACTGATGGCAAAGAGTTCTTTATTTGTGATAATTTTTATTTATTTTTTTTGAAAAATTACCACTACTCTTATAACTGAAATCTTGTACACAAAGTACCATATTAAAACCTTTTACCTTGCTAAATTAGTATTTTCAAAGAATGTCAGTTAAAAATAGAATGTTTGTTTCTTTTCTTTTTTTTTAATGTAAAAATAATCCACCACTTGATTAGCTAAAACAACAGAATGTTTGTCTCAACAATAAGTGGCTGAGTCATCTTATGTTTTTAGAAGATGATAAAATTATTGATTTACAGACCTTCAACACATTAAACGTGTAATATTGCATTCAAAAGTCCTACTCTTTTTCTAATTCATTACATATAAATTTTAAATGACCAACTCTATGGTGGTTCAAACAATGATCAATGAGAAAGGCTTTTAGTTGTTAATTATAGAGAGTACATTGTTCATTCAGTATACTCATTTAATATACATTGTGGCCATTCTTACAATAATCAATATAGCTTTATATCTCATACATTTTTATCTTTATTAAAAAGATGTAATGATTGTCCCACTTAAAAAATGTATGTTAAAATTCTTTTTTTTTTCTTCAGAAATTTAGTGTCAGCTTCTCAAGATGGTAAATTAATAGTCTGGGATGGCTACACAACAAACAAGGTAAGAAACTTACTAAGTATAACATATTGATATAATTTTGATTGGTATTAATTAACTTTATCTTTATTAATTAGAAATTGGTTGATCCCTCATCTCAATTGTTTCAATTATTGACTGTAAGGCTGCTGTTTTAAAATCTCTTGAGTGACTGCCTTTTGTTAATCTTTGTTTTTACTGATAGCAGTTGTGTGATGTCATTTTTAAATGGACCCACTCAATGTTTAATGTATCTCCTAGTCACATATTTCCTTCTACAATGTATCATCTATTTTTAAGTGTCTAGAAATTGAGTAAAAATGTGTAAATATCATAATAAATTCTTCAACTTGACCTCAGGTTCATGCCATCCCACTTCGCTCAAGCTGGGTGATGACCTGTGCCTATGCTCCCAGTGGCAATTTTGTGGCTTGTGGAGGTTTAGACAACATCTGTTCAATTTATAGCCTGAAAACACGTGAAGGAAATGTTAGGGTCAGTCGAGAACTCCCGGGGCATACTGGATATCTATCATGCTGTCGTTTCATTGATGATAACTCCATTGTTACTAGTTCAGGAGATATGAGTTGGTAAGTAGTTTTGCAAGTCATTACTTGTAATTACAGATGTTGCTGTAATTAGCTAAGCTATAAATATTCAAATATACATATATATTATATAAACGTACATACATATATATAGAAATAAATGTTTGTTTTTATTAAATTCAATACCCACTTGTATTTTTTTACAAAAGTAAACTAAAGTCAGTTTTATTTTTTTCAAACAATCATCTTTGCAAATTTAAATCTTAAAATGTCAACAACAAATGCAGTTTGTTAGCAGGGACATATATTTTTTAACCAAGAACATGTTGGATTTATATATTAAAGATATATATGTATCAAATACTTCTATTTGATTTTTTTATGAACTTTTCAGAAATGTTAGCATTTAATCATTTAAATATTTTAACATGTTAATATTTTCTTACAGTGCTTTATGGGATATAGAAACTGGTCAGCAAACAACTTCTTTTACTGGGCACACAGGTGATGTGATGAGTCTATCCACATCCCCCGACTTTAGGACATTCGTCTCAGGGGCTTGTGATGCTTCAGCCAAAGTAATCATTCTTTATTTTAATTTTTTTTTTTTTAAATCCAGAATAAAATTAATTAGAGTGAAAAAAAAATAATATATAACCATAAAAAATTTTTTTTTCAGTTATGGGATGTAAGAGACGGAATGTGCAAACAAACCTTCTCAGGCCATGAATCAGATATTAATGCAATTACTGTAAGTTTTATGTAAATATAATATTTTATTTAGCTTTTGGTTAATTGTAAATTCTGTACATTTTGTTCAACTAATTACACGTTTAATACCATTTTTTTTAAATAGTAAAATGTATTTTTAATAAATTTCAGTATTTTCCCAACGGACATGCGTTTGCCACTGGTTCTGATGATGCCACATGCCGCCTGTTTGATATTCGTGCGGACCAGGAGATTGGCATGTACTCTCATGACAATATAATCTGTGGCATCACGAGTGTGGCCTTCTCAAAATCTGGCCGCCTGTTGCTGGGCGGTTACGATGATTTTAATTGTAATGTCTGGGATGTGCTCAAGCAAGAACGCATTGGTATGTTGATGAACCTAAAGTTTAAAACAAAGATAGAATTTGGTAGATTTTTAATTATTTTAAAAATTATTATCAAAGAAATCATAATATGGTATACGTTAAATTTTCTTTCGGTACTGATCATACATTGTTCTTCTACAGGTGTTCTTGCTGGTCATGACAATCGTGTCAGCTGTTTGGGTGTGACTGAAGATGGCTCTGCTGTGGCCACAGGATCTTGGGATAGCTTTTTGAAGATCTGGAACTGATGTGGATGTGGTTATTTAGCCACACAGTCAGTGCCATTTCATACCACCCATCACACCACCAAATGCCACATGCGCCACTCCAAATTGTCAGTCATTTTGTCGCAACTTTATTTCTACACTTTAGTTCTTACACTTGCTTCCATATATTTTCACAAAATTGACAACATTAATTATATCAACATTTTAGTTTTCAAACACAAGAACTTTTATTTAAACAGACAAAACTAAACACAAATTCAGCAGGTATTTGAGCCATGAGTAAAGCTCTATGGATAAAAATCTAGCTACAAAACTACAATATTGAATATGACTGTGTGTGAAGAACGACATTTCGTATGATCATCATTTGAATTGTGAAGAAGAAATTTTGTAGGGCACTGCACATTTCTGACAATTTTGTCCACCAGTGTGTATTAGTAGTAGTTTACTTAATTTTTTATGTTTTGAATGGGTTACTTTTCAAATCTCCTTGCCCCATTTCACAACATTGACAGACATTTATCAAAGACTAGGAGTTAACTTATTTTTAACTCAAAGAGGATGATTTCTAGTACAGCATGGAAGGAATAGATATTTTGAGAAGAAAGTACTGTTTCATTTAGAAAGTAGTATTGGAAACAAGGCAAGTCTACAGTGTTTCTGATTTTGATCATGAGGAACTTTAAAAATATAGCCTACCCACGTTGTCAGATTGTGTTTCTGTGAGTAGAAGTGTGATTTACTGATGTAATGCAAAAACAGATGCTATTGGAAGGAACCATTTTCATACAGTTTCATTTAATAATTGGAAAAGAGAATTTTTAACCATGTTTCACATAAGATACAGGGAATGACAATTGTGCCGATTGCTTACTGGTTGTCAGATTTACTGGTTATCTTAGAATAACAAATTTCCTCTAGTAATCGTGGAACAAGCTCATGTGGTTATTGTACAAGCACAAAACACTGCTTTCAACAACTGGCTATAAAGCAGCTCTCTTGAGAACCATCAAAATTACAGTAGCAAAACATAACTGATATTCCTTCCCTAGTCTTGCTCATCATGTTGTCATGGACTCTATCTGGGCCAGGTAACATGACATCATCCTCATGCGACATGACTCTGACTTACCTGCCTAGCTGTGTGTGTCGGTGATGTGGTTGATGATGGGCTGCCTCTTTGGAGTATTTTACTCTTTGTTCAATTTATATGAACATTCATGTTTTGTTTTTCCTGTTAATACTATAAATAAATACATGTTTAGTTGTGTGTCTGTGGCTTGAGAACTGTTTAGAATTTTTATTTTTAAGTAAAAATTAAAGAAATTTAGTATGATTTGATTTAAGCAATTAGATATCGACCTAAATCTATTTTCATTTCTGGAGACTTTGTAGTCTCTTGCAATTTTTATGAGACAAAGCAATTTAGAACCCTATAATTTACTAAAGTTGATAATTTAAACATACATGATCATTCCATGAAAAAATGTAACATCATAAAATCAATTTGAAATAAAATTGTCACCAAATGCTTGTATCTTCTGTTAAACCTTGTTTGGGTTCTAATTGTTAGTAACTTTCTCAGTCCTGGTCACATTATCTGTCTAGTCCTGGACACATCAACGCCAGTTTGGCTTAGTGGAAAAGTATTTAGGCTGCTTGGTTGTATGATGACTGAATCAAATTAGTAAGGGAAGAAATATGCACTATCATTTTAGGTGTTAGAATGTGCCTGGATGCTCTTGTCATAATCTATCAATCATATGTATGCCTCTTGTAGACATAAATTTATGTCCAATTACATCTATAAAATGCATTTCTGTTAGTGTGTTAATATATATTTATGTATTACCTTTTTTGTTTGGTTTGATTCAAAGTGAAAAAAAATATATTGTGGAGTATGTAAACTTAATAAAAAGTTTAATGAATATGCTCTAATACTTTTTTTTTTACTTTTTTTAAAGCAACTATTTTTGTTCATCAAATTTGTTTAATTCTTACAGTATGCTTCAATATAGAGTAGTCTTTCTTGCTACTTTTTTTAAAAAAATAACATTCTGTTGTGTTTGTATATCATAGCACATGCTATGTCAAGACAGGATAATTTTTTTCTGTTCACAGTATTCATATTTCTTTATGGTTTTGTCTACTCATATAGAGCAAAAAGCGATACAAATCTATTTTTGTTCTGGTATATATCATTTAAGTTTACTTTGTTTTGACAGTAAAGGTGTTTATTGTGCCAGTTTTGTATGTTGTCTAATAAATATCTTTGAGATTAGTGAGTTCAACTGTAGTACTTATACTGTGTTATACAGCTATGTAAAGTGCATAAATAATAAAAAAAAATTTCAGTCATAATATCACTGAGACATCTTTTTTTTTCTAAAATTTCTACTGTAAATTAGCAGGATAATAAACAGTTTTTAAAAATAATTGTCACCTTAAAATGTTCTTAAAAGTTCAGTGTTTTTTTTTGTTTCATTCAGTGTTTGTATTTGAAAGAAAATTGTGAAGATCTGGAGTCAATGATACATGAAATAATGCCTTATGTAATCAAATAAGTTAAGAGGTAATAGGTGTGGTATTGAAATCAAGATGAAGAAGCAGTCTATGACAGCTGGGGGCTGTTCACACACCAAAAGTTAGGCCAGTGACACTTGATTTACTTAGTGCCATAAGTTAGCAAGGACACTGATATATTTTTCTTTACGTGGTGCATGAGATCCAAGTGCCATGGTAATAAAAATTAACATTGGGTTTAGCAAGTAAATTGGTGCACATTATTCAGTTCTTGATATTGTTAGAATATTCAGTTGGGTGTGTGAAGTGGTTTGGAATCTTGGTTTGTCTTGTTTTACTTAACCATGTGCAGCCTATTGGGTACTGTATAATGTGTTCTAGGTTGCACCGCCTGCAACAGTGGAAACCATAATGACCCATTAATACTGTTATTACACTGTTATAAATCAATACACATATAACTGGCTTATTTTTTTTTCATTTAGGTTTGTAATTTTTCACAATTTTCTTGACTGTATCTAGTTCATTTTTGCCTGTTTATCTAAAAAAAAAAAATCTTTAATGCATCAAATCTTAAAGATAATCCTTTTTATTTTATAATTAAAAATTGAATTGAGAATGAAATGGTTATGATTAGGATTTTTTCTTATGAACAGATTAAAGAGGAGCATCAGTTATGTGCTGTTTGTGTGTGCAACTGTTTTTCTTTACATCCCAGCTTGAGATGGCTGACCATCTAGTATTTATTATGTTCTGTTTTATTGGCTTTGTTTTGAAATATTTCTTTCTACCAAAAGACACTTTTTGTCAGTGTGTGTGTAAGGACTACGTCTGAGGGCAGTTTTATGTTTTTGCTTTCACTATCAAACTCATTGCATCTTGTCAGCAAGTTTTGTGGTTGAACAACCACGCCTAGGTTTTTATGTAGATTTTGTCCTGTTTGAACTGGAATGAAAACAGAATATGACCATGGATTTGTTTTTTTTTAAGTCACCAGGTGTTAGACCAAGCTAGCTTCTAGTGTTTTTTGATAATGACATTCTGCCTGTATGAGCATGGTGTCGCTGTCATTTCGATATCACCCACTTCACCCTCATCTTTATTTCATCTTAAATAATTTCATACCGTCATCTTTATATAATACCAACAGGCTTGAAAGACAACCAAACTAAAAAAAAAAAACTTGAATGATTTTTTTATTTTATTTTTTATTTTGAAAAACTATATACAAAAATCCCACACCCATTGAAGGGAGACTGAAATTGTGATGAATATGTATTTACAAAATACAATAGTATGCTTGAAGTTGTATGTGTGATTTTACAGGTGTGTCTATTATATTGATTGTTGCAGTTTGATATGTGCATGTTTTGGTATCAATGTCAACTAATTAATAATTATGAATTAATTCATTATATATGTAAGTAACTGATACTATTCAGCTTGTCTGGCCTGTTGGTTTTAGGTTCTTGAAATTGAAATTTCACATTTTTGAGTTTTAAAAGCCAGTTGTTCGACAACAGTTTGGTTTGTAATCTGTTATCTGAAATACTAACACATAAGAATGGTCTCATTTTTATCAGATTTCTTCAAGATTTTAAAATCAGTCAGCCAGACTTGCAGTATGCTTAAACAGTTATTATTTTTTAAGGAAAAATAATTCATTGTGGTTTTAAAAAAAAAAAAAGAAAAAAAAATAGCTGGTGAACATGAGAACTGTTTTTATTTATTTTTAATTTTTTTTTTTTTTTTGCTGGCTTGCCTGTTTGTTAGTCTGTATGACTAATTGATGTAATTTACCTTTAATGTAGTGTTTTACACCATTGATTGAATAACACTTTTTTTTCTCTGGTTTTGTTATACATTATCAAGTTATTTTTTTTTAATGAATAATTAAATATTGGTCGTTGAGGTTATTATCAACAGCAGTGTTGATACAGTTAAGCTCTATATGAACTTTCTTCACCCCCCTTAGCTTCAGACATTTTCCCCCCTGAAATCTCTTTCAAATAATAAGTTTTTTACAACGTTGGTTTTCTAATAGTCATAATGATCTGGCAACTTGCTTAAGAATTTACTCATTTAAAAAAAAAAATTGAATGAAATGGGATTTTTTTTTTACCTTTCTATTATCAATGATCTGGGTAGTAGTGTTGTATATTACTAATCATATTCAAGCGCTTTCTCAATGTGAAGCTGTCATCCCTTAGGAAGATTCAGTGCAATAGCTCTCTCCCTGGGTAACTTTTACATTTGTATGTCTCCTATTTTGGCCGAGAAGGTAAAAAAAAATACAAAAATCACCAAAAAGAGAAAGTAATTTACTGTAAACCATGTAACATACAGAAGTACTTCTAGTGCCACTTGTAGCCCGGGAGGCAACTTTATATCCCATCGGTTCCAGGGATGGCAGCAAAAGTCTGAGAATGATGCACGCACATACACAACTCACACTTTGTACCTTTGTGTATATCTCTATCTTGTATGAACTAGAGCATCTGTCTATGTATTTCCTCTAATGAGTCAATGTACAAGTAATTTCATTTGTCAAATAAAGCTATTTGTCTTTAATCTTCCTTTTTTAAACTTTTTTTTTTTACCTTTGTGTGTTGTTTAAGTTTAGGGAATCTATTTTCAGCCCTGTGGGGTAAAGGGTTTTTATTTGTGTGTGTGGAGGGGGGGGGGGATACCTTGTAATGTTAGTACACTAAATCTTGAACGCGCTACAGAGCCTTTTTAGTTTTTTCCTCTCCTTCACCCCTCTCCCCATTTTCGAACCAACTCCTCAAGTTCAAAAATTTGTATTGTGAGGGCCATATATAGACTCGTTTGTGCAGAAATTTCCAAAAGATGTCTTTTTATACTGTCAATACTATGTGATTACTGTATAAACTAACTGACGAAAACAAAAAAAAATGCAAGAGAAACAAGATGGTGCCTGGGCACGTGACTCTTAAAATCGATATCCACTGGTGCCATAGAGGGGGGGTGTGGCTTTGTTCGATAACTGACTAACATCATCCTCAGGTGGGGCTCGTGTGCTGGCTGGCCTTACAGGGTGTGTACCCACGTTACAAGCATGTTACGCAGGCCTAACTCACTAACAGATCCCAGTGTCTAGACCTAGTTGTGTCACGTGTTGGGAATTGAAATTTGAATATGGTGTTGATACAAATACGTTTCATAACAGCCAACTGTAGAGACCTGCTCTACTTATCTTTGTGGATTTATTCTTTACAACCCCCACTCACCCCCCCCCCCCCCCCCCCCCCCCCCCGCATCTACACAGGTCACAGACTTTTTTTCTAATTATTTGTGAGAAAGGTCAAGCCTACAGTAGTTAATTTTTATTACAATTTACACTAAAGCCTTTATATTTTTAATTCGAACTAAAAATTACTAGTTATAATGGATGACCCCTAATAGGAAGGTCAAGTACCACACCAGTCCACCATTTTTAAACTATTTTCTGTCTTGAGACGTCTAAGACAATTTTGATTCAACTTCGGTGGGCTGTTTCTGATAAAGATGTAACTAAATCAACTATTGAAGGTGGCCAGATTTCTGTTGTCACTCACTTCAAAGTTCTTAGGATTGTAATACTGGTAGGCCTACATTCACTTTTAAATCGTTGAAGAAACTTCCCCATTTCAACTTAATACACAAACTAGGCCTACTAATACTGCTATTTGGGGGAAAAAGTTTAATAAATAATCCCGATTAAGTTCTAGCGCTTTATTTTTTCAAAAACAAATTGGTCATGGCGTTTCCAGTTAAAAGGTTCCGACTAGGAGAGAGTTGGTTAAAAAGGTGCCGGTCGGTTTTATTTTGTTAGAAATAAATAATACAGGCCTAATAGATATTTATACTTAAGTGTTGATGTTGCACAAGGCTTTTTTTTTTAAATGCCGGCCCTGATTTGATCTAAAATGAGACGTTTCTTGAATTGTGGATAAATTCTCCCAGGATTTCCTTCGGACATTTTCGATGGGGGTGGGGGTGGGACTTGAAACGGGGGGGGGGGGCACCTGGGAGGTGGCAGACGCTGGTAAAAGTATATAATTATATGTTTGTTATTTCGTCTGGGGGTGGGGGCAGGTGTGGCAGTTGGAGTGGAACACCCCCCCCCCCCCCTTACAGAGTCCTGAAAGAAACTCTGTTTTGTTTTGAAAAATCCTAAGAACAGAATTATATCTTTTAAAAATAAAGTAAGCATTAGGCCTACTGCGCATCAAACTCGAATGTAAATTTATAAATGCTGCACTTAAGTAAGCTATTAATAGAAACACAGTAATTTCGTGAAGAAATCTTCATCATTGAACACTGGAGTCAATATTTTGATCCGAGTTCTATTCTGAGGATGTACAAGTAGTTTTGATATACTGCAGCCTTTTCCACCAATCGACGCCTTCCTTGTTGAGCTGTTATTTTAGTTCTAGTCTATGCGGCGTTCAGACGTCATGTTTTGAAAGGTTGCCTTGCCTATTGGCTAGAAAAGGAGAGGAGCGAAGAGCGGGGTTGTGACGTCTTCCACTAAGGTAAAATGCGAATGACTAGAAACTAAAGACAGGCGAACTATATAACCTTTTTTTTTCAAACAGCGAAAAATAGAAATATAATGTATATGCAATGGAGGTTGTGGATGTCTAGACAGACTCGAAAATGGGTGGCATGACACCCTCCCTACCCCTCACTTCTACCAATATTCTTGGACCTCAGCTAGGTTAAAGGTGGTGTGTATATATATATATATATATATATATATATATATATATATATATATATATATATATATATATATATATATATATATATATATATACATATATATGGTGAAAGATAGGCTGTATATGAGGATTGCACAAGAAACAAGATAGTTGTCATCTAAACAAGCTCAGTTCAAATAGTTTTCGAAAATTTTAAAATTTATTTGAGGAAAAAATTTTAAGCATTTATTCTGTTTTTAAATTATTTTTCTTTACAGATAGGCTGTATATGAGGATTGCACAAGAAACAAAATTAATGTGGATTGTTGTCATAGCATCTAAACAAGCTCAGTTCACTTTAGTGGGGAAAATTCTCACAAATCTCAAATCTATCAAACTTTCCCCAAACGAAATTATTTTATATGTCGAGAAAAATCATAACTTCTTAATAATAATAAACATTGCATAGAAAGCTTTTTAATTACAGGCTTTTATGTAATAATGCACTAAAATGGATAAAATACATTATTTTATTTAAATATATAACCAATACCTTACTATTTAGAAACTATAAAGAAAAGCGTGTGTTTCTTCCTAAATATTAGTAAATCATTCCAATAGATAATGTAGTTTTTTTAAATAGTAGTGTATTTTTATATATTTATAAAATAATTTCTTTTCTCATTTTTTGTGCATTACATAAATTCTTGCTATTATAACGTTTGTTATGTAATGTTTTCCCAGTACTTTCATATTTTCAATACAATATAGTTGCATGACTAAAAACTATTTGCGCACCAAATGAACATGATAATGCGCGATTAATAGTGCGGAACAGTAGAAGAAGACACATTATACTATAATACTTTCAGAAAATTGTAATTAATTCATAAAAATTAATTAGTCATCCAATTAAGTCAAACTTGATTTCAAATTGCATTGTCATCGGGTCTTGACTCACATGCAGAGTTTCAGGTAAATCGAGCTGTTAGAAGTGCTCCAAATTTCGCTCGCCCGTTTCGATCTAGACAGATAGCCGATAGACTGAAAGACAAACAGAAGAAGCAATTTAGATAAAAAGCTTGTTAAAAAATTTCAAGTGCTAACAGGCATGGAAAACATTATTTGTAACAACCAACTAAAAGAGGTGGAGCGAAGTAGGCATTTTGTGTTCACACCTCAAAAGAGTTCTTGCGATGAACGTTGCACTGTGGTCTAGTCTAGACCTATCTAAATATGTATAGAAAACTGCTTTAGATATTTTCGCCTGCATGTGCCAGATTTTCTGTAGTCCATAATATGCCTATTATAACAATCCAGAAAAAAATGACTGTTATAGTAAAGGGGTGTGGGGTGGGTGTGATGACGAGTGGCGATAAGGTAGGGGTGGAAGTAAAATACGTATAAATTGCAAGACGTAATTCAAGGAAGACACCCCCCCCCCCCCCAGCATCATTGCGATAATAGATGTACATATGCTTTAATTCTAGTTCATAAAAACAAACGCTCCACCCCTCCCCTTCTCCTAACAGATACATTTCTTTACCAGAAAACCTCATCACCCAATCAGACGACTAAAGGACACCCATGCGTCACAATGCACGTTAGCTCCTACACAACTATGAACTTTACCTTATTGGATTGGCATTTACACCCTCAAGATTTTCAAAAGATGCCATCAGCAATCAAGACTGATGTAGCGCACCAAGCCTTGTCGTGATGAGGCGGTCTCGTACCAAACGCCACTGAATCAGCTGCAAGACTCGAATCATTTAGCAAGACGAAC